GAAACAGTAAGAGATGCATTCCAGTGTGGTTGAGACAAGAGAGAAAAAAATGAAAAAAATAAATAATTTAAAAAAGAATAAAAAAATAAAATTAAATTAAAAAAAAAACAGCAAGAGAAAGGGCAAGCCCCAAGTTGCAGACATTTTTCTAGTCTCTGCTTGTGTCATATTTGCTAATGTTTCATTGGCCAAAGAAAGTCACATGGCCAAACCCAAAGTCAGTGTGGAGGGGATTCTACAAGGACATGAGTACTGGGAGGTATGGTGCCTTGTTGTAACAATGCACCACAAGTGGACATTAGAATCACTCAGGGAGCTTTGCAGAATCCCTATCCCAGGTCACATCCTGACCAATTAAAAATAATCTCTTAGGGTGGGACCAAGGCATCAGTATATTTAAATTTTCCATGTAATTTTAGTATACAAGCAAGATTGACAACAGCTGATATAAACCCATGGAAAAAATGTTTCCATTTATAGTAATTTGACATAACTTTTTTTTTTTTTTTTTTGAGACAGGGTCTTGCTCTCTTGCTCATTCTAGAATGTAATGATGTCATCATAGCTCACCTCAGCCTTCATCTCTCGGGCTCAAACTATCCTCCTGCCTCAGCCTCCAGAGTAGCTGGGACTATAGGCTTGCACTACAACACCCAGCTAATTTTTCTATTTTCTGTAGAGGCAGGGTTCTTACTGCATCACTCAGGCTGGTTTGGAACTCCTGGCCTGAGGTGATCCTCCTACCTAGGGCTCCCAAAGTGCTAGGATTATAGGTCTGAACCACTGCACCTAGCCTGATACAACTTGTTAGAAAGATATTTTTATTAAAGAGTATTCTAGAATAAAAGGAAAAAGGACATTGTCATATATGTGCTTTAATGTGCCCATATATATGTCTGTGAATTCTACATCAGAGAATGGTCAGTACAGAACATAGGTGGACAAGAAGGGCCAGGAACTCAGGACCATCTCAGGAAGAGGAAGAGGACAGAGTTGTCAGTCAGTGATGGTCCATGCTAATGATCTAGTCCAGGGCCTGTAAACTTTCTGATATCTGCCTTCTTTAAAAGCCTCCTTTCTGGTCAGGAACTTCCTCTCTCAGGATAACATCGTTTTATAGTGTTTTAGCAATGAACTTACATGGTTCTCCCTATCACTGACCTTATCTGGGCATCACAATAAATGAAGCTGGACAGAGGTAAAAGCTGTCCTATGTTACTGGCCAGGCCCAGGTCCATTCTGCCCACACACAGTAAATCAATCACTGTGGAATGGATTTTGCAAAAGAGAAAGGATTTAATTGCAAGGCTACTGATAGAGGAGGTGGGAGAAGAGCTCTCAAATCCGCCTTCCAGAAGGCTCAGGGATGTTTATGGGTTTGGAAAGCAGGGTGGTCTAAGGCCAATTAATTTCTTTCTATTTATAGTAGAGACAGGGTCTTGCTCTTGCTCAGGCTGGTTTCGAACTCCTGACCTTGAGCAATCCGCCTGCCTCGGCCTCCCAGAGTGCTAGGATTATAGGCGTGAGCCACCGCGCCCAGCCACGACCATTATTTTTATTCAATACCTTTCAATAGGTTGACAAAACCTGACCTAGATCACACTGGAATTCCTACAGATCCAGCTTCATAACTTCCTTGCAATCATTCACGTTCTGTTGTTTTATTTTATTTTATTGAATGAGAAAATGACTTTATTTCATTTTGGGGAGTGGGCAGCCATCAGTCTCAGAACTTCTGGAATTGCTTCTTGGTGCCAGCTGCCTTGGTGACCTTGAGCATGTCGAAGCCCACCATCTTGCTCAAGGGGCTGGCACATGCCCACTGTGACAATGTTGCCCATGTGAATGTTCTTAAAGCAGGGAGACATGTTCTTGTGGTGTTTCTCAAAGAAATCGTACTTGCGGGTGTAGTGGAGGTAAGTCCTAGTGGATGACAGTTGTCCTCTTCATCTTTATCTTAGTCACCACACCAGATGGCATCTGCCCTTGGTTGGAGAAGTTACCAGTGATGGGGCATTTCTTGTCAATGTGGGTGCCCTCAGTGGCCTCTCTGGGAGTCTTGAAGGCCAGATATGCTCTTGTAGTACAGCGGGAGCTTCTCCTTGCTAGTGTCTCCTAGCAGGACCCTCTCGTTTGGAAAGGTGGTGGGCTGCTTTTGGTAGGCATGCTCAGTGTGAATGTTGGCCATATTTTCAGCCATCGGAGGGAAAGAGGTTTGGTGTCTACTGAGGGCCTGGTAATCTTTGTGGGGATACAGCTATACTGATTTTTTTTTTATGCCAGATGTACTTTGTTGGTATTCCTAGATATATATCTTTAGTGTCTCTAATTCCAGCCCTAACAAAAGTTAACCTGTGTTTCAAATGCAGTTTGGGCTCTGAGTAGGATTTATAACTCCAACCCCAAACCTAATCCTTTTTTTGGATTATAATCAGGATTAAATCCTTCTATTTATCAGGCAGTTTAAGCTAGTCTTTGGGCTGCTGTTGGCTGAGACAGAGTCCCTGGGTGAATGCCTTAGCTGGGTCCCCAAGGAAGGACCAGCTGTGGTGGAGCAGACAACCTGGACCTTAGAGGGGCAGAACAAGTAGATGAGAACCAGGCTTCTACTCATGTGACCTTGCTAGGGTCGTAATTGCACATTCAGGGAGCCCAGCTATCATCCAGGAGTTGAATGATCCCTAGATGGAGATGTTCGTGCTTTCTGGGAAGTGTGCTAACAAGGAAGACAGTGGATCTTGGATTTCAGCAGAACTGGGGCCAAAGGTGAAAAGGCAGATGAGATGGATGCTGAGGTGACTGTGTTAAGCAAGTGCTTTGTCTAAAAGATCATCTCTATATGCATCCAGATTTATGAATCTATACATATGGTGTTGTTATTATTTTTTTTAAAGTGCTTCTTGGTCTGTCATGGTGGCTTACACCTATAATCCTAGCACTTTGAGAGGTCGAGGTGGGAGGGATTGCTTGAGGCCAGGAGTTGGAGACCAGCCTGAACAACATAGTGAGACCCTATCTCTACAAAGAAAACAAGAAAGAAAGAAATATTAGCTGAGTGTTGTAATACGTGGGCATAGTAGTACATACCTTTATTCCCAGCTACTCTAAAGGCTGAGGCAGGAGGATCACTTGAGCCCAGGACTTTGAGATTGCAGTGAGCTATGATGATGCCACTGTGTTCTACTACAGGCAACAGAGAAACAAGACCCTGTTTCAAAAAAAAAAAAAGTGCTTCCCTAAAGTTTAGCCACTTGCGAGTCACTCCATCCAGTGAACATGGAAGTATGCACTGATCACAGAAAGCCAAGCATGTTCTTTCTTAAATATTGTCATTCACAATATGGTAGTGGCTGTTTAGATGAATTACATATTTCTGAGATTTTTTTCTCTGTCTTCTAAAAATGTAGCTTAAAATTTCTATATTTAATGTTAAACATATTTCAACTGTTTTGGAATGATGTTTATACATTTCTGAGTACATAAAGAATTTTAGGACTGTGGACACTTATTAAAGGTTCAAGAATTTTATGAAATATAAAAAATGGGCAGGTAATTAATCTAAGAAGTTGCTGAAGAAATACTAATAAAAACAGATACAAAAAACAGATACCAAAGACCGATATGAAAATCAATAAGAGCAAAGCAGACAAAGAACACTGAGGAAAGCAGATAATTAGAAATGGAAAAAGTATGAATTTTCAAAATTCAAGCAAATCAAACAGAATCACTGGCTGTGAGTAATCAGGGAGCCATAATCACATAGAGAGGATAACATAGGAAACCTGGGTTGCAGCTGTGAGCTTTCAATACAAGTGAGTGGGGGTGAGGGTTAAACATATCAAATAAATACACCAGGTACGGTCATGGTGATGTGGAGAGGCTGCTGGCTGTCTCCCAGTGTCTGTTTTTCCCTTCTAGATCGTAATTTTTAATCAGACACATGGTTGCCTAGACGATATTTCCCAGTACCCCTTGCACCTAGCTAGAGGCATGTCACCAGGCTGTGGCCAGTGAATATAGGTAGAAGTGATGTGTTCAACTTCCAGATTGTGTCTTTAAAGGGAAGAGGTGGGTCCTGCGTTCCACTGGCTGGAATGCAGATGTGGTTGTCAGCCATGTTGGGTCATGAGGTCAAGTGCAATGTCCCAGGAATGGGGGAGTGGCAAGGTAGAAACTTGATATCATGCCCCTGTCACCATGACACCTTGTGCCAGCTATGGACTGCTCACCCCGTGTTGGTTCTGTCTTGTTTAAGCCACTATTATTTTAGTTGTGTTACAACAGCCAACCCTATATTTTGACACACAAGAGATACATATCAAGCAGATACCCACAGAGAAGATGATCAAGAGTGCAGGCCATCAACAAGGCTGACAATATAAAATGTCAATGAGTATGTAGGGCAAGTGGAACTTTCAGATGATGCTGGTGGGAATGTAAAATGGAACAGCCACAGTTTGGCAGTTTCTAAAAAGTTTAACGTATACTTACCATGTGACCCAGCAATTCCACTCTTAGGTATCTGTCCAAGAGAAATTAAAATGTCTACACAAAGATTTCCATGTGAATGTTCATAGCAGCATTATTCATAATAGCCCTGAAATAGAAATAATCCAATGACCAGCAACTGGGACATGGATAAACAAATTGTGGTATATCCATAAAATGGAGTACTACTCAATAAAAATGAACAAGTTGCAACCACATGGATGAACCTCAAAAAAAAAAAAAATGATAAATGAGGCCAGGTGCAGTGGCTCATGCCTTTAATCCTAGTCCTTTGAGAAGCTGAGACAGGAGGATCTCTTGAGGCCAGGAGTTCGAGACCAGCCTGAGCAAAAGCAAGACCTGGTCTCTACAAAGAGTAGAAAAATTAGCCAGGCAAGGCGGTGCACGCCTGTAGTCTCAGCTACTTGAGAGGCTGAGGCAGGAGGATTACTTGAGCCCAGGAGTTTGAGCTTGCAGTGAGCTATGATGACACTACTGCACTCTAGCCTGGGAGACAGAGCAAGACCCTGTCCCCTAAAAGAAACAAATGATAAATGAAAGAAGACAGACATGTAAGATGACTACATTTCTGTAATTACACTTATGTTAAATTTCTAGAAAAGGCAAAACTGTAGAGATAGAAAGCAAATTGGTGATTGGCTGAAATGGGTGGTAGTAAGTAGTGACTACACACAGGCACAAGGAAGTTCTTTTGGGTAGTGGAGGTATTTCAAAGTGGATTGCAGTGATAGTTGCACAATTTTATGAATTTACTAAATCTCATTGAACTAGATACTTAATACAGGTGAATTTTATGTCATGTAAATTATACCTCAATAAAGCTGTTAAAAAAATAAAGAGGATAGGTGAGTTACTGTTACTGAGATGAAATTAGCACTAGTTTTTAGTCCCAGGCACTTCTACATTATTCTATTATGGAACTCCTTTTGCATCAAAGAAAAACAAGACTGATTGTGAAATATTATGAATATTTGAAAACATGATAGTATTTGAGGAATAACAGTTACAAAATCTACGAGAGCAGCATGTATTATGCTGCCTACACCTGAGATAAGGAAAATGCTCTTGAGTCACATGGAATGGTACCTAGATAACTGTATTTTTTGTTTTAGAATAGTTTGATCCTTACGGTACAATATCTTTATGATAAATGTGGTAGATAATCTCCAAAAATGACTGCCAATGAACCAAGCCTCCCAATGTTCATGCCCTTTTGTGGCCTTTCTGCTGGCCCTATGACTTACTTTTGACCAATAGAATGCTTACTTTGACCAATAGAATAGAATGATGCCAACGACCGCTAAGATCACAAGAAGCGTTCCAGTTTCTGCTTTGGTTTCTTACAACATAAACAGCTCGAGGAAGCCAGCCACTGTGTAGGAAGTTTGACTACCTGAGACTTCCATTCTGTGAGGAAGCCCAAGCTAACCACATGTAGAAGGAGGGACGGACAGAGAGACAGAGAGAGACAGAGACTGACAGAGCTAGAGAGATGACTGGCGAGCCCCCGGGTGTTCCAGTTATCCCAGCCTAGACTCTGCATATATGAGGAAACAAGCCATCTTGGACATCCAGCCCAGTTGAGCCTTTGGTTGACTCCACCCCTGCTGATATCTGACTGTAACAACATGAAAGAGTTCAAATGAGAGCTGCCCAGCTGAGCCCAGTGAATTCACAAGTTGTATATCTTAAGGCACTGTGTTTTGGAGTGGTTTGTTACACAGCAATAGATAATCCTGATGGAATGAGGTAAGGAATTTTATTTTGATCTCTCCAATTTGAAATATAATAAATTTAGTAGCTAGACTAAGGGACTTTGATAAAGTCATCTTAATTGCTAGCCACCTTTTCTTTGGCTTTGTGTAACACAGATGTTTTCCTTTTTAAATAATTTTCAGAGATGGAAGACAGAGTGGCATTGTAACAAAGATGTTTCAGGTAGACTGTGAACCACCAAATATAGAGCCTTCGGAAGACAGTGTTGAAAATGTTCTCAAAGCTTCATCGAAGCAGGCGAGTAATGAAACGGTAAGTTATAATTATTTATCTTGTCCCTGTGTTCTTGGTTCCTTTTATCTCAGTAGGCACGTCTTCCCTGTCATTACATCACCTCTACTTACCGTCAGATCTTTACAGTAGAAGTCAGGATCAATCATTGCAAAGCATCTTCAGTAATTTCTGAGCCCCTTGTCACTCCCGCATCTACCCTGAAGATTAGAATTCCTACCCGGTATCACTGGCCCACACTCCAGTGTCCTCAGTGTCTGTCTCTTACCTGCTGAAGAAAGCAGAACCCTTTAGCATGCCATCCAAGTAATCAGCTTCTGTCCTCGGTCAGCCTCTCTTGTTTGTCTCTACTCCCCCACCCCCAACATATACTCCAACTAGACTAAACTGTGCTGTGCTCTATCACTGCTACCCTGGCACCCAGACCTTCTCCTTTTATAAACTGCTTTGAATATGGGATTACTTCATTGCTTATCTATCATCCCCATGCACTGTGAGCTCTAAGGTGGCAGAGGGCATGGCCATTGTCCTCCTTGCCTTGCACAGGGGTAGGCAAGGGAAGATGGCAAGTGTATATTTGTTGAATAGATACATCAGGCTAGTAGAAGTCCTCAATGGGCATAGACTTCTATTAGGTTCAAATCTTTACCTCTCGTTATCTGCAAAGCCTCACCTCTTTGGAGAGCCAACTAGACCTAACTAAACAGGATGTTTGAAACTTTAGTCCCTGGATTTGGGCATTAGTGAGATGGATTCAGGAGTAGGGCCACAGGCTGGGCTAGACTGGGGTAAGGCAACTGACCAAGAGATCTCAGCTATTTGGATCTTGGGAGTGACAGAGGAATTTTGGGGGGTGTCCCTTAAGCCCAACGGTGGATCTAAGGCCAGAAGGGATACCGTGTGACCAAAGCAGTGGGTTTAGGCACAGGGTGGGGCCCAAATGTGATCAAGGCAGGGATCTAGACTGGCAGGGGCAGCCAGCAGAGGCTGAGCCCACGTGTGTCGGCAGGTGCTGAGGCTTGCAAAGATGAAGTCTGTGGAGAAGAAAGTCCAGAGAGAAGAGTGTTCAAGGACTGTGTGCAGGCAGGTAGTGGAGAGAAGTCCTATCTTGGTCTGGCGCCATCCTATCTTTGCCACCTGGATCTGGTTATTACTCATCTGTTATTACTCAGACTCCCATGATTGCATACATGTGCTGCTTCTTTCCTCCTGTCTTGGCCATTTAGCCTGGTAGGGCTACCATCCAGATGTGTTGCTAACCAAGCAGCCCAGCCCACAAAGCTATGTGTTTCCAGAGTAAAGTGAAACAGGGATCAATTTGTAAAAACTACTGTAAACACTTTCAAGTAAGAAATACGTGCCATGACCCTGTCTCTTTCAAAGAACTTTAAATTTTCACATTGTAAGTGGGCATAATCAAGTAATTGATATGCCATTTATTCCTAGGAATTAAAAAATGGAATTGTTGGATCAAAACTGAAGAAGAAACATAAGAACACTGAAAACAAACATAGTTGGAATGTTAACTTTAGAAAGTTTCCAGGTATGATACCACAGAACAAAGGCAAGGTTTAGTATTCTAAACCCACCTAACAGGTTTGCTGCATGTTTTCTTGTCCACAGAAGTGTTGGAATAAGGAACACTGGAATAGGAAAGTAGGCTATACAATAATCTGAATTTTAGTGCTGTTCCAGCTAACAGTTTAAGACTACAAGGGATAAATAAACCATCCGACAAAGTGAGATTTATTGATTCATTTCAAACAGGGAGACCACATGCCAGGGAACCATGGACATCTCACCATAAAGCAAAAGTTGTACTTGTAGGGTTTGGGGGCAGGGTGGAGTTTGGGTAAAATTTAAATGAAAGAGTTTTGATAGGCTCAAAGCAAAGCTGGGCTGGGTGTGAAGTAGTAAGTGGTAAGATGAGGTATGGACTGTGAAGGGGATTCAGGGTTCTGTTGCCTTGGAAACTACAAAGATGCACATGAAATGTTGTATTCAGAAACCCTTATCTTTGCACCAGGGTTGCTTCTCTATGTCATACGACTTAGGTCCTCCAGGAAAGAGTTGGCTGTTTCATTCTTACTGATAGAATTTCAAACAATAAAGTTTCTGATTATCTGTGATTTTAGAGAACAAGGTTTTTTTCTTAGTAAGAAAGCAGTAGTCACTCAAAGAGAGGGCTATTAAGACATTTAACCACTGCAGTGTGTCCATGGGAGGAATGTTTCCTGCTAACCTCACCATTGGATTGATCTGTCTGTTTTCCCAGACTGTTGTGGAATGTTGTAGAATGTAATGTGGAAGATTATTTTCTCAGTCGGGAATTATTTTTTTTTTCTTGGTCCTAATTAACTGAGTGTGTGTGGGTCTTTATATAATTGTTATTTCTAGGGAAAGAATGTGATGACAGTGGTCGTTTATGAAAAGGTTTCCAACTAGGAAGACATCTTTGTGTGATAATATATAATTACAGATGCTCAGAGAACAATGTTTTTAATATAATTGTAGACCTCGAGGTAGGTGAAAGAAGTGACCCTAGAACTTTGAAAGATCTTCGCTTCTCAGGAAGTCCAATGGAAATCCCAGCTTACCATGAAGCATCAAGGTCTAGACCCTCTACACGCCAGCCCCAGGTAACTTCTAAGGATACTCTTTAGTACCAAAATGCCCTCTATGTTTTTAATGCTTCCCATGAAATACTTTAAGGCATCAACTCCTAGATTTTTGACCATGTACCAGGCACTGTTCCTGTTCTGGGAATATCGTGTTGGACAAGAAAAATCCCTATATTCATAAGGCTTACATTTTATTGGGGTTGGGGGCAGACAGATAATAAATAAGTAAATAATTAAAAAAAACCTTAAAACAGCAATAAGTGTCATGAAGAAGATGAAACTGGATAAAGAGATGGAAGGGACTATGGTTATCAAAGTGTAGTCCCTAGAACCTCAGCATCAGCATCGCATTGGAGCTTCCTTGAAATGCACATTCTCGGGCATGATGAACAAGGTGGGAGAGGAGGTGGAAGGTGGCTGGGACCAGAGTACTTAGAGTTGTGGTTCTCAGACATAGCTGCATGCAAGTTAGAATCACCAGAGGAACTTCAAACCAATCCCAGAGACATAACCTTGCAAATTCTGATTTAGTTGGTCTGATGTAGGCCTGGGCATGATTTTTTCTTTTTAAGTACACCCCAAGTGATTCTAATGGGCAGACATGATTGAGAGTCACAGATGCTAATCTGCCTATAAGGAGCTTAGATCTTATTCTGGCTGTAAAGGGAATCTATCTGGAAGATAAAATATGATCCCCATTTACATTTAAAGGTTTCTCTTTGGCCACTACATGGAGATTAGACTGTGGAAGGAGAAGAGGGGAACATCAGTTAGTTCCGGGTGAGAGATGATGGTGGCTCAGGCCAAGGTTGTAGAGGTGGTGAGAAAAGGAGGTGATGGGATTCAGACTGGCTTGGCCGAGGGATCAGATAGATGGGACAAGGGAGAGGGAGGAGCTAAAGATGCCATCAGGGCTTTGGCCTGAGCATCTGAAGATGATGGTGACATTGACTGAGATGGAGAAGATGCTAGAGGAGCAGGTGTTCAGGGGCTCATTAGACATCAAGTGGAAATGTTGCATAGACTGTTGGATATGCAAGTTCAAACTCAGGGGAGAGGTCAGGGCTGGAGCTATGTATCTGGAAGTATTCAATATATAGGTGATGTTTAACGTTTAGGTCTGAATGAGATCGCTTGTCAAGGCTGTACAGAAAATAGAGAGTGGCACAAGACAAAATCCTCAACTTAGAGGTCGAGCAGGGAAGAGGAGCCTGAAAGCAGTAAGAAAGCCAGAAGAATGTGGTGCCGTGTAAGCCAGGAGAAGAAAGAGTTTCAAGGAGAAGGCAGAGGTCATTTATGGCACTTGTTACAGAAGAGTCTAATTAGACAAGGACAGACAAATGTACTTTGGATTTGACAAGATAGAGGTGATTTATGACCTTAATAAAAGCCATATCAATGCATTCTTACCACTATAACACAAGAAAGATGCCCTTACACTAGTTGTCTACTACTACATTATAGAGCTTTGAGTTTTTAGAGTTTATAAAATCCAATTTAGACTTTTGGTGCCTAAGGGCAACCCAGCTGCCTTTGCTCTCTTTCTCTTATCTGAGCCCCAAGTATAATGTACCTGAAGTCATGTTTTCTATATAATCACAGCTTACCATCACATATAAAGGAGGCAAAAAGAATGGCTCCCAAATCTGGTTGCATATCAGCATCAACCAGGGAAAACTTTAAATATATATATATAGGTTCCCACCCACCGACTCCTGCAAGCCTCTTAGATAGTCTCAGGTGGAGTCCACGGATGTCTTTGATGATCAGCCCAGTCTGAGAATAACTGGCCTAGAAGAGCAGTTATCCTTATCCCCAGGTCAAGCTCTTTCCTTCATTTCTAGACTCTAATGCCAAAGTGTAACTCAGCCTGACCTAGTGGGTTCTTCCATCTGCCCACCCACTATATTTTCTGGAAGACCACAAAGCCCAGCCCAGAGGACCACACATTGAACAAAAGGGCAACCATCCCTACCATGGAAGATTGCCTTTCCCAATCTTCTGGAAAGAATGATTACCTGGTTACAAAATGGACTAGTGAGCGCTCTCAACTCCTGTGGGCAGCACATACCAGTGTGGCCTAAATACGAATACTGCTTTGGAGGTAAAACATACCATTTTGAAGAATGAATGGTGTATGACGAAACACAATAACTACTTTAGAAAAACAGTCTCCCGTGGTCATAATTATTTGTAATGTGTCTAGAAATAGTTATTTTCTTTGTGCATGAATATTTGGCTTTCCCACTTAGTTGTTTAAAAGTTATTGTTTGCAAGGGGAAGATAGAATAAAATAATATTTAAAGACTCCAGTTCAGAATCCCAAGAAACTAGGAACATAGGGACAAAGACAAAGTTAGGGGAACATGAGTAGAGTTCAGAAAGCCAAAGAGGCCAGAAAAAGACCATATGACTTTTTTCTTCCACTCTTTTTCTTCATATTGGTAAGAGATTCTTCTCAATATTTCAGCTCAATCCCAGCTGAAGCGTACTTCAGCAAGTATCAGAATTAATGATTCTGGTGAGTGTTATGTCAGCAACTACTAGGGAGACAGTATATCTCTGAGCTAAGCATTTGGCTTGAGGATGTCTTCAAGGGCCAGGCAGCCGACTAAATGTGTGCCACAGCCTGGGTAGAGGATAAATGATAGCTGAAAATAAAATAAATGAAATCCCACTCGGTCTTAGTGAGAGAGCACAGGGGTCGTGGGTTCTCTGACAATGTGGAATGCCCCACCTAGCTAAAGGGGTCACTCTACTCAGCTCCAGCCAACCCTTGACAAGAAGGATTGCAGGCTCAGTGTTGCCACATCTAATGAATTTGCATGAGAAGCCAGAAACCTACATCTTTATGTGTAATAACCTAACTTACAAATTTGACAGTTAGTTCAAATTTTGAAACACTATGGGGGCCAGTATACACTGGGCCAGATGAAACTCAATCGAAGACCAGATTTGGCCAGAGGACCACGACTTGGTGACTTCTGGTTTAGGCCATGTTAGATGCAATACAAAAGCAGTGAAAAGCTGTGATTGCTCTCCATTGCTTGTAAGATAAAGTCTAAAGCCCTGAGCTCAGCACACAGGCTGTCAGGTAGGCCTGAGTTCAGCACAAATACTGTCGATGAGCTCAAGCAAGTGACTCAGCCATTCTGAGCCTCCGTATCCTCATCTCAAAAATGGGGATTACATGAGCCTCTTGATGTACACTGAGACGGACACAATATAATTTCTCTGGAATCGGTGCGAACATGCACAACTGAATCCAATTATGAAGACACATCAGACAAAACCAAATTGAAGGAGATTCTATGAATTAACTGGCCTGTTAAAAATGTCAAGATCATGAAGGATAAAGAAAAACAGAGGAACTACTCTAGATTAGAAATGACAAAAGGGACATGGCAACTAAATGCAGAGTGTGGTATGGGACTGGATCCTAGACCAGGAAAAACTATGTAGCTGTAAAGGACATAATTGGCATAGCTGATGAAGTCTAAATAAAGACCTGTGGAGCTGATAATAATATCATATCACTGTTACCTTTTCTGATTTGGATACACTGTTGTGTAAGAGGACAGCCTTCTTCCTAGGACATGCACACTCAATTATTCAGGAGCAAAGGGACATCATGACTGCAACTTCTTACTTGATTGAGAGAGAGAGAATAAAGGCAAATGGGGCAAAAGGTTAACATAAACAGTTTGTCAAGCTGGGCATTATTTGTACTATCCTTGCAACTTTTCCATGTTTGAAATTATATCAAAATAATGTTACAAAAATAAAATTGGTTAATATTACCTACCTCATAGGGTCCTTGTGACATGTCAAGGAGATAATGGCCACAAAATGCCAGGCATATTTTACTACTGTTAGATCCTCCGTGTTAGCTTTCCCCATCAAGTTCCTTCTTCAAACTTTTCTTTCTGTCCCATTCTCCTGCCACTTTAGACCACATCTACCCCCCTGAGTGCCAGCATAGGCCATGTGCTGCTCTGCCACTGTCCCTTTGCCACAGTGTTTCTTCTACTGGGAATTCCCTTTGTCTTTCTGTCCACTTGACGAGCTTTTCTTTCCTCTCCCAGGCCCATCTCTGATGTTACTACCTTTGAGAAGCTTTGCTCCCCTGGAGCAAGTGAATGTGATTGTTCCCTCCTCCAGGTTCCCTTGAGACTCAGCACAAATGCGTCACCCTACTGAACCCATTGTGTTTCAATTATTTTATATGTACATGGGTTCAGCTCCTTGGGGGTAGGGACCATGTAATATTTGTCTTTGTCCCCTTCCCTGCATCGCCCACAGTGCCTGGTACAAAGGGGATACCGAAATAATAATGTATTGAAGGAAGTTAAATGTTTCTGGATAACAGCAGACAGTTAATGCACACATTCTTATAGGAGTTTCCTAGAGATAAATAATTTTTGAGAAAAATGAGTACTAACTTAAGTCTTTAAATTCTAAAATCTGGTTTGTGATGGTAAATTCAGATCTTTATTATAAACTCTATTTTTAATGAAATATACATATCTGATTATGAATAGCACTTTAAGTAATTTTTAAATATTAGATGCCAGAGCAATAATTACTTATGACCCTCCCCGTAATTTTACTATATCATAGCCTCTACCACTGTTATATTGACTACATATCTACATACACCTGTATTCTTAATTTTAGCCCCCTGGTTTTGCACATATAAGGAGCCGGAAGAGTTTGACAAGCACGGAGATCATGAGAATTCAGAGGGAGTCAGACTTTCTGAGGTAAGTATCATATTGTCTTTACTCTGTCTTACATTCTACAAAGATACATTGTGGTCAAAGATAATTTGGCCGAGGTGCGGTGGCTCACGCCTGTAATCCTAGCACTCTGGGAGGCCGAGGCGGGCGGATTGCTCGAGGTCAGGAGTTCAAAACCAGCCTGAGCAAGAGCGAGACCCCGTCTCTACTATAAATAGAAAGAAATTAATTGGCCAACTAATACATATAGAAAAAATTAGCCGGCATGCAGGTGGTGCATGCCTATAGTCCCAGTACGCTGGAGACTGAGGCAGAAGGATTGCTTGAGCCCAGGAGTTTGAGGTTGCTGTGAGCGAGGCTGACGCCACGGCACTCACTCTAGCCTGGGCAACAAAGTAAGACTCTGTCTCAAAAAAAAAAAAAAAAAAGATAATTTGAAGATGGGACATAATAATTTTTTGCCCCTCTCCAACTTTTTAAATTAAATTTTTACAGCTTTTTAGAAGGTATAATTGACATACAATAAACTGCATATGTATTTTTAAAGAGTCGAGTTGATGTATATAATATAACCATGAAACTGTCACACATCAAAAAAATGAACAAATTCATCTCCTCCAAAAGTTTCCTGTATTATGTCCGATTGTAAGTCCTCACCTTTGCCCCTCCTCATCCCCAGGCCAATTTTGATCTGCTTCTTGTCACTACAGCTTAATTTGCATGTGATTCCACATATCAGTGGAGTAATTCAGCCTGTACTCTTTTTTGCCAGGCTTCTTTCTCACTCAGCACAGTTGTTTTGAGAGTCATCTGTGTTTGCTTGTAACAAACATCTATTTCTTTTTATTACTGAGTAGTATTTCACCACATGGATACACCACAATTTGTTTATTCACTTATGTGTGTGCATTTGTATTATTTCCAGTTTGGGGCTATTACAGATAAAGTTCCTGTGAGCATTTATACAGGAATCGTTGTATGGTACATATGCTTTCATTTCCCTTGGGGTAAATGCCTTGAAGAAGAATGACTGGGTCACCTTTTCCAAACTCGAGATATGTTAAGAAGTTGCCAGACTGTTTTTCCGATTGTACCATTTTGTATTCTCTCCAGAAGTGTATGAAAATCCCCACTTCTCTACATTCTCGCCAACACTTTTATTTTTATTTTTGGCCATTCTAGTGAGACATAGTGGTATCTCATTGTGGTTTTTATTTGCATTTCCCTCATGACTGTTGTGGAGCATCTTTTCATGTGTTTATTTGCTATTGTGCGTTCTCTTTGATAAGGTGTCTATTCCTTTTTTAAAAATTAGGTTATATATAATCTTCTTAGAGAGTTGTACATGTTCTTCTTTGTCAGATATGAGTTTTGTAAATATTTTCTCCCTGTCTTTGGCTGTTTTCTTAACAGTGTTTTTTGAAGAACTAAAGTTTCTTAATTTTCATGAAGCCCAACTTATTTGTTTTTCTTTTACACTTCATTCTTAAGTTTGTCATATTTAAGAAATCTTTTCCAAACTCAAGATATATGCCACTCACTAAGATTTTCTCCTATGTTCTCTTCTAGAAATTTTATCTCTTATATTTAGGATCTATCATCCATTTTAAGTTAATTTTTATATATGATATGAGGTAAGGGTTGAGGTTCATACTCTTGAATATAGATATCCAATTATTCCAGTACAATTTCTTGAAATGATTATCTTTCTTCATTGATTTGTTTTAGAATATTTGAAAATCAATTGACAATATTCATGTGGGTCTAATTCTGGACTTTGTATTCTGTTCCATTGATGTTTCTCTATATTTATTCACTACTGCACTGCCTTGATTATGGTAGCTTTATAATAAGTTTTAAAATGAAATATTGTAAATCCTCCAGCTTTGTTCTTCTTATCAAATATATTTTGGCTATTCTTTTTTTTTTTTTTTGAGACAGAGTCTTACTCTGTCACCCTGCCTCAGCCTCCCAGGTAGCTGGGACCACAGGCACATGCCACCATACCCAGCTAAGTTTTCTATTTTTTGTATAGATGGAGTTTCACTTTTGCTCACACTGGTCTCAAACTCCTGAGCTCAGGCAATCCTACCACCTTGGCCACCCTGAGTGCTAGGATTACAGGCAAGAGGCACTGCGCCCAGCCTCTGTTTTGGCTATTCTATCCCCTTAATATTTTCAAATAAATTTTAAAATCAGCTTATCAACTTTTACAAAATGACTGCTGGTTTTAACGGGGATTGCATTGGATCTACATATCAATTTAGAGAGTATTGACATATTAACAATATTGAGTCTTTACAATACATAGAAATGCTGTATCTCACCATTTATTTAGGTCTTCTTTAATTTCTTTCATCAATATTTGTAGTTTTCAGTGTACAAGCTTTGCACATCTTTTGTCAAATTTATCCTGTTGTAAATGCTTTCAAAATTTTAATTTCTCACAAGACAAATACTGCACGATTCCACTTATATGAAATGTCTCAAGTAATCAAACTCATAGAAACAGAAATTAGAATGGTATTTGCAAAGGGCGGAGGGGAGGAGGAAACAAGGAGTGTTTGTTCAGTGGGTATAGAGTTTCAGTAATACAAAATGAGTAAGTTCCAAAGATCTTTGTAGAGCAGTGTGTATAAGTTAACAATACTGTAATGTGCACTTAAAAATTATTAGGATAAATTTATGTATTATATATATATTTTTGCCACAATAAAAATTTCAATTTCTGATTATTACTAGAATATAAAATACAATTGGTTTTTTTTTGTAGTGGCATTATCTCCTGCAACCTTACTAAATTCACTTATTCTATTAGCTATTTTATATATTCCATATGATTATCTATGTATTAATAGTTGATCAGGTTGCCTGCAAATAAAGACAGTTATTTTACTACCTTTCCAATATGTGTTCCTTTTCATTCTTTTTCTTGACTTGCACAGGTGAGAACTTCTACTATAATTTTGAATAGAAATGTTGAGAATGGACATCCTGTCTTATTCTTAACTCTAGGGGACAAACATTTGTTTTTCAGCATTAATATGGTATGAACTGTAGGTTTTTTGTCAATGACCTTTATTAGGTTCTTTCTTCTTCTTCTTCTTCTTCTTCTTCTTCTTCTTCTTTTTTTTTTTTTGGGACAGTCTTGCTCTGTTGCCTGGGCTAGAGTGCTGTGGCATCAGCCTAGCTCACAGCAACCTCAAACTCCTGGACTCAAGCAATCCTCCTGGCTCATCCTCCTAAGTAGCTGGGACTACAGTTGTGCACCACCGTGCCTGGCTAGTTTTTTCTATTTTAGTTGCCCAGATAATTTTTTCTATTTTTAGTAGAAACGGGGTCTCAATCTTACTGAGTCTGGTCTCAGACTCTGGACCTCAAGCAAACCTCCTGCCTTGGCCTCCCTGAGTGCTAGGATTACAGGCCACCACACCTGGACCCTGCTGAGAGTTTTCTTTTTAAAAAATCAGGAATAGGTGTTGAACTTCATCCAAAGCATTTTCTTCATCTATTAAGTGGATCATATGATTTTTCTTTTTCAGTTCATATGGTGAATTACAATGATTGATTTTCAAATGTTAAACCAACCTTGCATTCCTATGATATATCCACTTGAAATATTATCTATTTTATATATTGTTGAATTTGGTTTGCTAAAAGGTTTTGAAGAATTTTTTGAATGCAACTGAATGGGTGATTTTCTTTTCTTATTAGTATCTTTGGTTGTTAGTATCAAGACAATTCTGGCCTCATAGAATGAGTTGGGAAGTATTTTCTCTCCAGTGTTCTGAAAGAGTTTGTATAAAATTGGTGTTACTTTTTCCTTACATGTTTGGTAGAATTCACAGGTAAAATGATTAGATCTGGAGTTCTCTTTCAGGAAGATTTTTAACTACACATTCAATTTCTTTCTTAGATACACATTCATTCAGGTTTATCTGCTGCTTTTTGAGTGAATTTTGTGTTTCATTTGCTTCTCTTTTTTTTAGTTTCTTTAATGGGAAGATGAAGTCATTGATTTTAAGCCTTTCTTCTTTTCTAATATAAGCATATCAAACTATACATTTCCCCAAGGACTGCTTTACCTATAGCCCCCAAATTTTGATATGTTATATTTTCATTTTCATTCATTTCAAACAGTTTCTAATTAGCATTGTTATTTCAGTTTGACCTATGGCTTAGTTAAAAGTGTTCTGTCAAATTTCCAAATACTAGCGAATGTTCCTTATACCTTTCAGTTATTTATTTCTAATTTAATTCCTTTTTATCAGAAAATATATATTGTATGATTTGATTGGCAAAATGTTCCATGTGCAGTTTAAAACAATATGTATTCTGTTAGAATGAGTTCTATAAATGTCAGTTAGGTTGTTAATTGATAGTATCATTTAAACCTTCTCTATCTTTACTGAGTTTGTTTATTGCATATTCAATTATTGAGAAAGCGATATTGAAATCTATGATGGTAATTGTAAGTTTGCCTGTTTATCCTTGCATTTCCATTTCTGTAAGTTTTTCTTCATGTATTTTGAAGCTCTGCTATTAAGTACATAGACCTTTAGGATTCTTATGTCCTTTTGCTGAATTGACCCCTTTATCATTATGAAATAACCTTCTTTAGTTCTAGAAATACTCTTTGCTCAGAAATCTACTTGTTCTGATGTTAATGTTGCCACTCTTCTTTCTTTTGATTAGTGTTTATATGATGTGTGTGTTTATATGTGTATAAATATATATAAAACATAAAATAATTCACATATATTTCCATACCTTTACCTTTAATCTATTTGTGTCTCTCTATTTAAAGTTGGTTTCTTATATGCATATAGTTAGGTCTTGCTTTTAAAAAATCATATCTGATAAACTCTGCATTCTAATTGGGATATTTAGAGTATATGTATTCTAACTGATGCCCCATTATTACATATGAATTTCTTTACTTTGGCTGGTGCGAGCATGAACTTCCCAGCCCTGTGTGAGGCCTAAGGATGTTTCCTTTGCTCCCCTTTGGAGTTTATTTTCTGGCCTTAAGTAGTTTCTTCCAACACATGCACTGATCAGTAGTACCCATTTGAAGATTTGAGGGTGACTCTCTGCAAAATTCTGAAGCTGTCTCTGCAGCTCTTCTTTGGTATTCAGTCCTAAAAACTCTGGTTGCTTTGACCTTCTCAGACTCCCAGATTTATGCCCTCAATTCATATAAAAGAAATGAGATAGGTTATTCCATGGATTGTTGAGTAACATTTAGTAAGCTTTGGGCATAGAAAGTAGGAAACTGTTGTTGTCCTAGTGGGTGGGACTAGGCAGGAAACCTGGTAAAATCTTCATAACATGGTACAGTGAGCAAGGACTGAGTAGGATGAAGAATGTGGGAAGTCAGCTCAACCATCAAGGCTGGTAATTGTCAGAAGGCCATGGTGGAGATTGGTGTAGTTGACCAGGCAATCCAGTATACAGTATCTGAGCATCATAGTCACTGAGGAGCAGTTCATATCAATAGGTGACAGGATCATGGCCCAACCGGCTTGGAAAGGTATGGCAGCAGCAGTGTACATACAAGGCAGCCTAATTCCAAGAATCCTTTAACTTTGGTTGGCAGTTGGAATCTAGTTGGGTGGGTAGGGGCTAAATGATGGATTCAGCTGCCGAAGATATGGGGCTGATGCTGCTAGAGCAGGGCCTTGGGACTCTGACCAGGTAAGCAAAGAGAAAAGTAGGGTTGGACCCACAGCGACCTTCCAGAGTACTAGGCAAGAAAGAAGATCTGTCCCTTAGACTGGGCTCAATTGCAAGAAGTCAGAAAAGTACAATGTAAACATTAGTGGAGTTCCCAGGGCTCACCCTTACACATAGCCACAGTCAGGAAGTATGATGGACCAGGCCTACAGGAAAAGGACACCAGGGATTCCAGCTGTGAGGTCATTTTGTAATAAAATGACCTAGGGAAGGCCAGGCACAGTGGCTAATGCCTGTAATCCTAGCACTCTGGGAGGCCGAGGCTTATGGATCATTTGAGCTCAGCCGTTCAGGACCAACCTGAGCAAGAGTGAGACCCCGTCTCTGCCAAAAATAGAAAGAAGTTAATTGGACAGCTAAAAATATATAGAAAACATTAGGCAGGCATGGTGGTACATGCCTGTAGTTCCAGCTACTCGGGAGGCTGAGGCAGAAGGATTGCTTGAGCCCAGGAGTTTGCTGTGGTTGCTGAGGTTGCTGTGAGCTAGGCAGATGCTGTTGCACTCTAGCCCGGGTAACAGAGTCAGACTCTGTCTCAAAAAAAATTTTTTTTTTTTCTTAGGGAAGCATTTCTTATCTTGAACTTGTTCCATAGCCATTGAACATGGTTTGCTTTTGTTTTGTCTTTAAAACTATTTGAATGCTTTTAAATTTTCATCAGGCTTGTTAATGTCATCATTAACTAGCAATGTCATGGCCAATTGGGAACTTATTTTGTTGTAGGTGTGCCGGTTGCCTTGCCTCTCGTCCATCTGATCCCTTTGCTCGCTTCTGTCAAGAATGTGGCTCTCCTGTCCCGCCCATATATGGCTATCATCTCCCACCTCCTGAAGCAGCTCAGGTAAGCAGCAGAATCTTAAAAATATCTTTCATTGGTTGATCTGATCTTTATTTGCAGCAGTGCCTGGTATACACGAACCACACACGTATTAACAAATACTTGTTGAAAGAATCACTGGAAGATTAAACTCTTATTATCCAGACTCCTACTTAAGAATGGAAAAACTTATCTACAATGTTATGTCTTTTGTGTGGCCTTACAGATTCACATGCTCAGAAAGAGGTTGAAATTGTGTTGTTTCAATGAGGCATGCATAGATAAATAAATGTTTACTATCTGTTTGATATCTTTGCTCATAACCTGGGTACAATAAGAAAATATATTCTAGAAATCATAAATGGAGAGAAGCACTAATTACTTTATATCTGTATATATGTATATATCCATAAGATGTATCATTCTGTCCAAAGAAGCTGTAGATTAATCATTATATTTAAATTTAAAAGCTTTGGCTGAAACAGTTTATTCTACAACACCCAACATCATGTAGAGGAGGGAATTCGAAGACTTAGGAAAACAGGAATGTTGGAGTGGGTTTATCATGTGTGTCCTATAGGCCCCTATATTTTACAAGAAGGCCCAGAAAGACGCTTCCTTCACTAAGATGCTGAAGAATACCTAAGTGAGAGTTGTACCTGCTTCCTTAAAAAGTTCCATGGCTGCTTTCCTTTGTATGCCAGATATGATCACAAGGGGTGCTGCTGTTTAGATTGGTTCCCTGATCCCACTGGGGCTAACAGGATTCCAGAGTGGCAGAGGTCAAGCAGCAGCACGTAACTACCAAAGACAAGGACAGCAGTGACATTTGAGTAAGCAGGGTCTGATGATGGTGTTCCTAGGAATGAAATAAGCAGCCTACTAGTATATTTCTTGGTCTATAAATTGAAAAACACTAGGTCTTGTAGCCAAAAACTGACTTAAGTTACTACATTGGAGCATTCGAGTTTCTCACTGTGTTTCCAGACAATACACCAGTTCACAAACCTGGAGTATCTTGGTTGAAGGGAAGATATGTACTAGCTTTGCAAGTTCATATCATATATCTTCCTTGAAGCCTTTCCAAAAAGGATGTGTTGCTTTCAATAGAGTGTGCATTCTGAAAAGGAAATGCCCAAACCTTTGGGAGATTGTTAATACTGGCTCTGAATTCATACTAATTCTTGGAGACCTGAAACACCACTGTGGTCCACCAGAAAAAGCTGGGACTGCAAGTGCTCAGATGATAGAGGGAGTATGACCTCAAGTCTGACTTGTAGTTTTTGCTTCATATATTTTGGGTGTTTGTTTTCATGCTTGTGCTGTGGACTGAATGGTTGTGCCCCCCAACTTCATATATTGAAATCCTAAACCCCAAGGTGATGGTAGTAGGAGGTGGAGCCTTTAGGAGGTAATTAGGTCGTGATGGGCCCCTTATGAATGGGATTAATGCCCTCTACCGTGTAGCACAGGTAGGAGGCACCATTTATGAAGCAGAGAGCAAGCTCTCACTAGATACCAAATTTGCTGGCACCCTGATTTTGGACTTTCCAGCCTTCAAAACTGAGAAATAAATTTCTGTTTTTATAAGCCACCCAGTTTATGATATTTTGTTATATTGATAGCAGCCTGAACAGACTAAGACAGTTCATCTACATTTATAATTGCTGTATCTTCCTGATTTATTGGCCCTTTTATCATAAAAATGTCTTCTCTTTCACTCTAGTAATATTTCTTATCTTAAATTTCTTTATTCTCTGATATTAATATTTATGTGGCCACTCCAGTTCTTTTATGGTTACTGTTTGTGTTGTATATCTTTTTCTATAGTTTTACTTTCAACTTATTTGTGTCTTTGATCTAAGGTGTGGTTAGAGTAGACAGCATATAGTTGGATTTTACTTTTTTATCCATTTTGACAGTCTGCCTTTTGAGTGTGGTGTTTAGTCTGTTACCATTTAATGTCATTATCAATGTGGTTGAATATTTACATATGCCATTTTGCTGTTCGCTTTCAAGTTGTATCATGTCTTTTTGTTCCACTTTTCCTCCTTTACTGTTTTCTTTTGTGTGAAATAATTTTTCTTGTGTCATTTAAATTCATTTGTTGATTTTTTTTGTACAATTTTTAAAGTTATCTGGTGCTCTAGAGATTGCAATATGGACCTTAATTTCTCACAGTCTATTTCAGAATAATTTAACTTAATTCTACTAAAATACAGAAATTTTGCTCTAGTAGATCTCTGTTTCCTCTTCCTTTATCTTTTATGTAATATATATTACTTGTATATTTATATACATGTAATAATTTTATGTATTATACAGCTATGTGTTTTAAATGGAAAAATGCAGTGTTATACAATCTTATGTCATTTAAAGACAATGCAAAAAACTGTCTATGGAGTCATTTATATATACCCACATGTTTATGATACCTTGTCTTTTCATTTCTTCCTGTGAACTCAGATGATCATTTCCTTTAAACCTGAAGGATTTCCCTTGATATTTCTTATAAGACATGTCTGCTAGCAATTTCTGTATGTCTTTGGTTCTCTGAGAATGTTTATTTTACCTTCACTTTTGAAGCCTAGGTTTGCTATATATATAATTCTTATTTAGCAGTTATTTTTTTCTTTCAGCCCTTTGAATATGTCATTCTATTACCTTCTGGTCTCTATTGCTTTTGATGTATATGATAAGTAGGTTTTTTTTATCTTGCTACTATAAAGATTTTCTCTTTGTCTTTGACATTCAGCAGTTGGATTATAATGTGTCTAAGTGTGGATCTCTTTATATTTATCCCTCTTGGGCTTGATTGAACTTATTGGATCTGTAGATTAATTTTTTTCCACTGTGGGAAGTTTTTGGCTATTATTTCTTCAAGTTCTTTTTCTGCCTCTTTCTCTTTCTCCCATTACACATATGTTGCTATGCTTGATGTTGACCCACATGTCTTTGATGGTCTGCTTATTTTCATTAATCTTTTTTTCTTTCTGTTCTTCAGATTGGATAATTTCTATCAAACTATATTCAAGGTCACTGATTCTTCTTTCACCTCCAATCTGCTGTTGTATCCCTCTGGTGATGTTTTTCATTTCAGTTATTTTACTTTACAACTCTGAGTTTTGATTTAGTTCTTATTTTATAATTTCTACTTCTTTACTCAGATTCTCTATTCATCAGATCATTGTCATATTTTGTTTAATTTTTTAAATATGATTTCCTTTAGTTCATTGAACATTTTTTTATAATAGCAGCTTTGAAATCTTTGTCTGCTAAATCCAACATCTGAGGACACTCAGAGACAATTTCTGTTATCTGTTTTTTCTGAGTATGAGCCACACTTTCTAGGGTTTGCATGTGTAATATTTTTTTCTTGAATATTGGACATTTTAGGTCACATATTGTAGCAACTCTGGATTCTGACTTTTTCCCTGTGAATTGTTGTTTTGTTTTTTATTTACTTGTATTAAATATTTAATGTCTGTTTCCCTTGCAATATGTGGCCATTTGTGTCAAGGTTTTTGTTTGTTTGCTTTTTCTTATTTTTATATTTAAGCCTGGAGTTACCTTTGAGTCTGCATATCTTAATGTTCAATTGAAGATTGGCCAGAAATTGTGCTTAACTACCTTGAGCCAGTAAGGCTTCCTTTCTCCACTGATGGATCTGTGTGTAGGCTGGGTAGAACATTCGAACATCAGGCTGTTTTGAAGTCCACCCCAGCTTTTACTCTATGTTGAGCTCTATTGCATCTCCATGTGCATTCTCCGTCAGCTAGGGATGTGGGATGGCTTGGGCCCACTCTGGTTTATACTGTGCATGTGCATAGCCTTCAGTCAGCCATATGTGGAAAGCTATTCAAGCCTCTGTAGTTGAATCACCTTCTGAAATTCCCTGTTAGATCCTCGGCCAGTTTACAGGTCCATTGATTACCCTAAATAGGTCCATAGAGTTGCTGGTCCTCCCCGTTTGCTTGCCACTGAGATCTCACCTTAACAACACTTCAAATCAAGTCAACTTTGTCCATCAGCAGCCATAATGCTGATTTTCACAGCCTGCCCTGCCCTGTTGGAGCTACCACACAGATAGAACTAGGGGAAACAGCCTCAGGCAAGAACCACACTTGTAGTGTTTTGTTTTGTTTTGTTTTTCTTTTTAAATTTTCTATAGCTGTATTTTTTTCTTCCTAGTCAACTCACAATAAATGTAGTGTTCTTTTCTGAAGTTCAGTCATTTTCAGGAACTTTTCAGTTTGTTGTCTGCCCTTGGTTGACTTTCAGAGTGCTGAATGGTTGATTTTTGACAACTTTATCTCACTTTATAATTGCTTTTCAGGAAGAGAATTTATCAACCTACTCATTAACTCATGCTGTTATATAAGTTAATTTTCTATGGTTATTTTTTCTTTTTAAAATACCTTTTTTTCTACATTACACATGTTTTTACTCTTACTGGGACTAAAATAATAATAACAGTAATTGTATTTTATTTTATTTTTATTATTTTAAATTGGCACATATTAATTGTACATATTTATGGGGTACATAGTGATATTTGACCACCATCAAATCAGATTAATAAGCATATCCGCCATAAAGGTAATTATTTTAAAAGCTGTTTTACAAAAGCAAATTAAACCTTACATACTAAGATCTACTCATATCTTTGGTTTTTGCATTCCAAGACAAACCTGGCCTTTTCTTTTGTGCAGAGGGGCTTATGTACAGAATGTGGAAGCATGGTTCCTATGAACACTCCGTACTGTGTGGTGTGTGAGGCCCCTCTTGCTCTACAGCTGCAGCCACAGCCCAGCCGTCGCATGAAGGTAATGAAATGTGATTCTGTAGAAATACAGAATCTATGTATGTATATATCTTTCTATGAATGAAATACATAGAAAGTAATGTTTGAACAATTTTATGCCCTTCTTCAGCTGGTGGAATGGGGTAACAAAGAATAAACTAATATGCAAGGACAAAATCCATTCTAATTTTTGGAAAGGTAAAGAGTTTAACTTGCTGGTTGGATCTATAATGTTAAAAGAGATATATAGTAATGTATTCCATGAACATGGATTTGGAGGACAAAATTGCACTACAGCTAACTTACACAATTTTTTACTTCATACATTTAAACATCAATAATTGACTTATAATCTTGTTCTTAAAGTGGCTTCATGGTTTTTGTTTGCTTTATTTAACTATGGGTCCCTATTATGTAGAAAAAGTGATTAGAACTAGTCACATGGAAGAAAAAGTTACATATAATCACAACATTCAAAAAACTTTGCTAGACAAATGATATCATATCATGAAAACATTTTTGGTAGAATCATTGAACATACAACTGTATCTTTTCTCCATTTTTTCAATTTACAGTCCCACTTACCTCCTCTTTAATCCCAAGTAAAGGTCACTAGAGGATAAAATAGATTTAATAGAGGGAATTGGGGTGATAAAAAAATTCCAGAAATTTTGAAGAACTGGCTGGGCCAAAGTCAGGTATTATATGAAAATTTACTAAGCTTTTTGTTAGATGAGTATTTTCAATCTTAAGAAACTTTAAAAGCTACCCCAGGAAGCCACCATACAGCCCTAGAAACCTATCTCCAGACTTCTTATATATGAGAAAGAGAAATCAACTTTTATTTAATCAATTCATTGTTATTTTGGGTGTTCTGTTAATCACAGAAGAACCTATTCTTATTAATACATCTACTCAGAATGTTTGAAGATAATACTATTCCAAACTCTTTGGACTATTTAAAACTGGAGGAAAAGAGGTAAGGGTAAATGTCATGCCATCTTTGGCATTTGAAATATGGAATTCTTTCCATTTTGTGGGAAGACAGAGAGATAGAAAAGTATTAGTAAGTAGTTTTTCCCTTCATTTGTTGTAAATCCTACATTGAGAATGTAAACAGGATTTCTTTAGTGATTAGTAGAATTAAATCCAGGAGTGGTCCCTTTCTTAAAGGGCAATTTTTATGAGAGATGGTCACTTGCAATTTATTTCTGTTCTATTGGTGGGCCAAAGTTAGAACATAAACCTCATGCAGAGGAAACCAACTAAGAATTCAAAGATGAAATTTAGAAAGTCAAGCCTGAGTTGGCTCAGGTTCCTATGAAGACGTCAGAGTCTTCTACTAACAGTGGAGTTAACCAGACTTTGAAAGATTGGGATTTTATAAAACTACCTAGTGGTATTGTTACGGCAAATGTTACAGCTAGTGTTACAGCACTTGACCGGGGAAAGAACCGAGTGGCACACGGAGAGTCGGAGAAAGCCTTTATTCCGCCAGCAGGCTCAACATGCCACCAACTTCTGACCCCCCTTCCTTGTTCTCCTCCAGTTTTTATACCCTTGGCAGGATTCAAAAAGCGTCCAATCAGCAACAAGCTTTATCCACTTAGCAGTGGGATTCAAAAAGTATCCAATCAAGATCTAGCGCTGCAGCAGAGGGAGGCGAGCGCCTCACCTGCACACCTACTCTAGGAGTGGGAGCGGCAGGGAGGCGGGGAGCAGGGGGGACGCGGTGACGGTTTTACCTGTCAGTATCAGAAATAAAACTCCAGAAGTTGGGCTTTCTTTTGCTTGATCATCCTCTTTACCTGTAGCAGTTTCAGAACATACTGTATTACTTTCAAGACACCTAGAAACCACAGTCTTGGAATAGAAAGGAACTCTGAGCATCAGTGATTTTTGGCAATTCGAAAAGATAGTATTCTGAGAATACAGAATGGTCCAGTGATTAAAGAGTTGCTATCAAGCCTCTGCTAGCTGAATTCTAGTTAGACTATTTTAACCATTTCTTTTTCTTTTTATTTTCTGTGTTGCAACTTAACCCTAGAGTCCTGAGTCAGAAAGTTGCACTTACCATTCTCTTTCTAAGGTAGTCTTTTCACTCCTTCCATTTCTAAGTGAGAAACTATAGAGCAAACCTAAATTCATATTTAACAGAAAGCCCTATGGGGTAACCCCTCAACCCTGGAACCAGATTACTTGTAAACACAGATGATCTTTTGCTGGTCTTTCTGTTTACTGTTTAAGCCATGAAATAGAGAGCCTACCACTGACTATCCCATTTTCCACATCGGAAACAAACAAAAATCTCACACGTAATCAGTATAAATTTTTCAATTTGTTTTCCCAGGACTAAATGAATACTCTTTTTAGTGTGTTTGTTTGTTTGTTTGTGGTTTTGTTTCTTTTGAAACTCCATTAATTTGTCTGACACTATTTATGTTGTAGTAATTCCTAAACCAATCCAATATTCAGGGCCTGGGGTCTGTAGCTGGCTGACTGATGGAAAATACTGATTGAAGATTTGTTTGCACAGTTGTTTGTTCAGAAGAACATGTATTTCTTATTTTCTGTTGTCAAGGAGAAGATAATCTGCAGGACTTGTGGCACGGGGAATCCTCCTCACCTGAGATACTGTGTTACCTGTGAAGGGCCTCTGCCTTCATCACATGAGGTAAGTTGACTGCATATGACAGTCCTATATTTAGTGGCTGCTAAATGTTCAGTGTTAATGAAAAGTAGAGAAATATAATTTACAGTGGTAGGAAAGAGACCAAGAAAAGCTTCTCATGGTAAACTGAAAGCATCATATCTATAAGTGAAGAGGACTTTATGTATTCGTCAAGACAAAATTATTTTCAAAGTCTTAAATTCAAAAAGATTTCAATAAAATGAAATTTTCTTGCAGTTTTGTTTAACAACTTTGCATGGGAGGCTGGCCTGTGGGAAAGTGAACCCATTCACATTTCATTTACAGGCAGATATGTCTTTGCTGACTATATATGTATCTGCTTTTTGAAATTTAAAACATTGTCACCACTCATTTCTTCTTCTTTTTTTTTTTCTTTTGAGACAGAGTCTCACTTTGTTGCCCAGGCTTGAGTGAGTGCCGTGGCGTCAGCCTGGCTCACAGCAACCTCAAACTCCTTGCCTCAAGTAATCCTCCTGCCTTAGCCTCCTGAGTAGCTGGGACTACAGGCATGTGCCACCATGCCTGGCTAATTTTTTCTATATATATATTAGTTGGCCAATTAATTTCTTTCTATTTATAGTAGAGACGGGGTCTCGCTCTTGCTCAGGTTGGTTTCGAACTCCTGAGCTCAAAGGATCCGCCAGCCTCGGCCTCCCAGAGAGCTAGGATTACAGGCGTGAGCCACAGCACCCGGCCACCACTCATTTCTTAGGTTTCCTGTCAGCCTATTTTGAGTGTTGAAATGAAGGAATAGGAGTATGTGCAATTTAGGTACAGTGAATGTGTTCTGTTCAGATAACCTAGTTTATGTTTATAAAATATTTCTGATAAAATTATTTTTTATTTTATTTATTTATTTTTTTGGAGACAGGATCTCACTCTTTCACCTGGCTAGAGTGCAGTGGTGTCATCATAGTTCACTGCAACCTCAAACTCCTGGATTCAAGCAAGCTGCCTGCCTCAGCCTTCTAAGTAGCTGAGACTACAGGCATGCACCAACATACCTGGCTAATTTTTCTATTTTATGTAGAGACATGGTCTGGCTCTTGTTCAGGCTGATCTCGAACTCCTGGCCTCAAGTGGTCCTCCTTCCTTGGCCTCCCGGAGTGCTAGGATTATAGGTGTGAGCCACCGCACTTGGCCTTGAAATTTAAAATTACTTCCAGGTGACTCTTGCCCTGGCCTAACAGTACTGAGAAGGTGGCATTTACTAGCCAACTTAGAAGAAAAGAACAAAAGTTTCTTTTGGGCTATTACATATGTATTTTTTTGACTGTTTGTGGGGTTTGTTGCATTTTAGAGGGATTCCTCAGAAAACTGGACAACATGTGATGATTAGCATGGTCAACATGGTTAGTATCAAATGGGAGTGCATTAGTTTCCTAGGGCTGTTGAAACAAAGCACCGCAAACGGGGTGGCTTAAAACAATAGGACTTTATGGTTGTATAGTTCTGGAGCCGGAAGTCTAAAATCAAGCTGTAGACAGGACCATGCTTCCTTTGAAGGGGTGCCAGGGAATGAACTGTTCTATGCCTCTACCCTAGTTCTGGTAGCCTCCAGCTTCCCTTGGTTTTTAGATGCACCACTCCAGTCTCTGCCTTTGCTGTCACATGAGGTTCTCCCTGTGTCTCTCTGTGTATCTGCCTGTATGTCCAGATTTCCTTCTTTTTTTTTTTTTTTTTTTTTTTGAGACAGAGTCTCACTCTCTTGCCTGGGCTAGAGTGCCGTGGTGTCAGCCTAGCTCATAGCAACCTCAAACTCCTGGGCTGAAGTGATCCCTGCCTCAGCCTCCCAAGTAGCTGGGACTACAGGCGTGCGCCACCATGCCAGCTAATTTTTTCTATATATTTTAAGTTGTCCAGGTAATTTCTTTCTATTTTTTTAGTAGAGACAGGGGTCTCACTCTTGCTTAGACTGGTCTCGAACTCCTGAGCTCAAAGGATCCACCCACCTTGGTCTCCCAGAGTGCTAGGATTACCGACGTAAGCCGCCGTTCCCAGTTAGCCTTCTTATTTTTATTGTTTACATGGAATATTTCTTTCTAAATATTTCCTTCTAGCGTATATAGTTGGTGCTTGTCTGTGGCTTACATGTAGGTATTTTTTCTTTTTAAATCCATTGTGACAATCTCTCCCTTTTTAAGTGAACATTTAGTTTATCAAAGTTTAATGTAATTATTGATATGATTGGTTTTGAGCTGCCATTTTTTAATTTGATTTCTACTTTTTTTCTGTTTTCTTCTATTTCATTCCTCTGATTTTTTGGGTACTTTTTTGTTTTTTGCGACAGAGTCTCACTTTGTTGTCCAGCTAGAGTGAGTGCCGTGCGTCAGGCCTAGCTCAGCAGGAACGACCCTCAAACTCCTGGGCTGAGTGTCCTTCTGCCTCAGCCTCCCAAGTACGGCTGGGACTGACAGCATGCGCCCACATGCCTGTAATTTTACATGGTTATATATCAGTGTGCCAATTATCTTTCTATTATAGTAAGTAGACGGGGTCTCCGTCTTTCACAGCGGTTTGAACTCCTGCCTTTGACAGATCAGCCCCTCGCCTCCCAGAGCTAGACTTACATCGTTGAAGCCCAGGCCCGGCGGGTTCCTATTGATTCATTTAATATTCTCTATTTGCCTTTAGTGTATTCGTCATTATTAAGGTAGTTTCCCCTGTGATTATAATATACTCTTTAACTTTCATAGTTACTTAGGTTCATTAATTGTACCAACTCAAGTAAAATATATAAATCTTGGCACTTGTATTATAATCCTCCCACATACTTTATGTATAGTTAATTTATATATATTATCAAAAAGTCCTAGATAGTATATTTTGATTTAAAATTGTTAAGGAATTAGAGAAAAACAAAAAGATAAAAACTAGTTTTGCATTAACCATAATGATTACGGAGTTTTGATTTCTTTACCTTTCTGAGTATGTGAGTTGTCTCTAAGTACATATCCCTTCCAATAGAAAATCAAAATCCCTTGATCACTTCTATATAGCAGGTTTTGCCAGGAATTCTCTTAGTTTTCTTTTATCTGAAAATGTCTTTATTTTACCTTTCTTCTCAAAGACTATTTTTGATATATAGTTCTGTGTTGACAGTTATACTTGCTTTCAGAACTTTAAAGGTACTCTACAATCTCCTGCCTCTAACTCAGAAGTCAGATTTAAATCAGATTGACATTTCTGTGTATGCAATGCATCATTTTCTCTTGCCGCTTTTTTTTTTTTTTATTTGAGACAGAGTTTCCTTTGATGCCCAAGGCTAGAGTGAGTGCCATGGCGTCAGCCTAGCTCACAGCAACCTCAACTCCTGGCTCGACGACCTCCTGCCCTCAGACCTACCGAGTAAGCTGGACGACAGGCATGCACCACCATGCTCGGCTAATTTTTTTTTTTTCTAGATATATTAGTTAGCCAATTAATTTATTCTATTTATAGTAGAGATGGGGGTCTCACTCTTGCTCAGGCTGGTTTCGAACTCCTGACCTTGAGCAATCCGCCTGCCTTGGCCTCCCAGAGAGCTAGGATTAGAGGTATGAGCCACCATGCCCGGCCCTCTCTTGCTGCTTTTAAGATTTACTCTTTTTTTGTTGGTTTTTAACAGTTTGGCTATCAAGTGCCTCAGAGTGAACTTTTCTGCAATTATTCTGATTGGTGTTCATTGAGAATCTTGTAACTGCAAATTTCTGTCTTTTGTCAAATTTGGGAATTGTTTATCCATGATTTCTTTAGGTATTTTTCTATCCCACTCACTTTCTACTCTCCTTCTGGGATTCCATATACACATCTGTTGGATTGTTTGATATTAGCTAACAGATCCCTGAGGTTCTAGTCATTTTAAAAATCTTTTTTTCTCTTGTCACATTGTATGATTTCTATTCATCTATCAATAGAAAGTTTGCTTCATGTACTCTTTCTTTTAGCAGCTCCTTTTAGCTAGTAAGTCTACTTAGTAAACATTTTATTTCAAATATTATCTTTTTCTCTTTCAGAATTCTCATTTGTTTTTCTTTTTAATGTTTCTATTTCTTTGCTGAGATTTCCTGTCTTTTTATTCTTTGTGAACAAAATGTATGCTTCAAAATTCTGGTTGGCTAGTTCCAGTATCTGATTCATCTTAGAGTTGAACTCAGTTGATTTTCTTTTCTTTGGAGAGGTACTGGTTCTGGTTCCTTCCAGGCAGTGCATTCCCCAAATCAGACATATATATTATTACCTGCTAAAACAAAACAGAAAAATAAACAACAACAAAAAACCCAGTTACTATTCATCAAAGAATAGTAATAATCCCAAAGCATCACGGCCTAACATTCATAATGGTAGGATACAATCTAAAATTCCCCAACAGGCTGGGTGCGGTGGCTCAAGCCTGTAATCCTAGCACTGTGGGAGGCCGAGGTGGGCGGATTGCTCGAGGTCAGGAGTTCGAAACCAGCCTAAGCAAGAGTAAGATCCCGCCTCTACTATAAATAGAAAGAAATTAATTGGCCAACTAACATATATATAGAAAAAATCAGCCAGGCATGGTGGCACATGCCTGTAATCCCAGCTACTGGGGAAGCTGAGGCAGCAGGATTGCTTGAGCCCAAGAATTTGAGGTTGCTATGAGCTAGGCTGACGCCACGGCACTCACTCTAGCCTGGGCAACAAAGTGAGACTCTGTCTCAAAAAAAAAAACAATAATAAAATTCCCCAACATACTAAAGCCCAAGAAAAAACGTTTTGGTGGGGGGAGCCGCAAGTTTGGTCTCCATTCAGGTATTTTTCTTTAGTTGATCTGTATTGAATCTATTCTACATATATGTTGTTCAGGGACCAGTAAGAGATGTGAGTATATAGAATTTGAGAATCCCCTCTCTGTCTGTTTGCTTTCTGGGAGGTGCCTACCTCTTCGGCAGCCAAATATTCCTCAGCTTCAGTTTTCTGGTTCTCCTGGCCAGAAATGCTGCCTTTTGCCCACCCCTTCACACGCACTATGTGTACTGTCCTTATCCCCAGGCTAAAAGCCGTGGAGATGGGAACTAACTCTACATAACTCCTCTCCTTCTGTGTATACTTGCTACAAGAATTTACCTGCTTCTGTTCATTCTCCACTGCCTTCATGTATCAATGAGCAGATTTTTAGTTGTTTTCTGTGTGGGAATCATTTGGTATGGTCTTAATCCTACATTACCAGAAGGAAAAATCTGTGTAGTTTTTTTTTTTTAACGGTTTCTGTTGCATAATATTTTTTTCAGAACTGAGACCAAAAACATACTAATGCAGTGGTGAATTTAATCAGAAAACACATTCCAAAGTCAAACCTGATGTGATATTAGGGTAGTCTGTTGATAGTTATTTGTCTGTCTGTCTGGTAATGCAGTTTTAGACTTTATATCACTCTCCCATCATGAAATGACATCTATAATTTTTCAAGGCACCAGAGAGAGAAATACTGAGATTGGAAAAACATAAAAACAGAAAACAGTGGAACTTTTGGAATTCTTGGAATGGTCTTGCTGATAGATTAAAGTAAATTGCCAAGCAAAAGATTTATTTTCTCAGACATCCTTTCCTCGGGCATTCTGAACTTCTTTTATAAATAGTAAAATAATTTAAATTGACTTTATGAATTTTCAGTGATATAATTGTTTCTAGGTCTCATTCCCAAAATTGAATTTGTTTTAGCAATTGTCTTTTATCTGAATGGTATATCACAGTTTAGATGTCACAATGAGAACATTTATCACTGAAGTGGCATAGAAGTAGCAATGCACGTTTAATCTGATAGCTTTATGTCTTTTTTGCTTGTTTGTTTGTTTAGCAGCATTAATATGATGGTGTAAGATAATTTTTCTTTCTTTAAAGCAATGTTATCTTAAAAATCTGCTTGAACAGTAGATTCATTTCAGTGAAAGTTCTGAAGGCAATATATTTAAAAACACAGGTTGGCAAGTTTTATGTCAACATTCTGTTTTAAGAGTGGGATAATTGAAATGTAAGGTCTGAAGAAAAAGTTTGCAAAGAATTTCTCATTTGATTTACCCAAAGGAGTATCTCTCTAATTGCACAGAAATGAGGGTAAGTGTACACAACAAGAGAGGTCTCCTTTCTCAGGGGCTCTGCAGATGTTGAGGGGTATGTGGCCTCTTTTGGATAGTTCTCTTTGGGGATAACAGGGCAGCCCCTGAAGCAAAACAGGGTATAGCTGGACAAATAAAGTCAACTAAAGTATCCACCATTGAGGGGAAATTGCCCTTAGCAAACATTTCCCTTAGTGTTCACATCCTTAGTATTACTCATGGAATATGTGGCAATACATGTGTTCAATTATCAATTGAATCAGTTATTCATTGATTGATTCAGTGACTATTTTAATGACTCTCATGTGCCAAGGAACCAAGTATTGTCCTAGTGGGGAAAAAATGTGAAATCATAGTTCTTTCTCTCAAACAAATCAGCATCTAGTGGAAACCAAGATGGTAAGTAAAGGAAGCTGGCTGGCGCAGTGTGGCCCTGTGCAGAGCATTCCTATACATTGAGTTGCTGTTGATCATGTGAAACCTTCTACGGTCCTGTGAGGAAGCCGTTGTATTTGAAGGGGCTATATGGAGTCATGGAGAAGAGTCAGGCTTTAGAGTCAGATGGCCTGAGTTCAAATCTTGGATCTTACCCTCTCTATGCCCCACTTACCCTCCCTCTGTAAAATAGGGAAGACGATGGCACCCACCTCACAGGTGTGGGGCAGTGCTAGAATAGTATCTGGACACAGTAGGCGACCAGGCAGCAGTCACTGTGACTATCATCCCCATTTGGGAAATGAGAAAATCTCAATAGGATTGCCTAGTAAGGAATACCTTACTAGGATTGCCTGTTTTAAGGGTATCCTACAGGCAATCTGGTAAGAGATTTCCATATGGAAACCAGAACCCCAAAGTATAGAAAATAAACCTTGATCATTATACCTTAGGTAGCTCAGCTCACTTTCCTTCCTTTATTTATTAATATTGTTCTATTAAATCAACAGGCTTGCTACCTTTGATATTAAAGATATTGCAGAATATCAAGAGACATCTTTGAGGCATCAGTTTCATTGACTTTCTGTGATCTGTGTAAAGGAATGTGTGTTCTTTGTATTAACTGGTGAAGCACATCATAGTTTTACTTCTTTTGGCAAAAAAATACTGTTTCCAGGGCTTGCATTGTTGGCGGGCTTTTTATCTTTTTTGGATTGTGAGGGAGATTGGCGAGTATAATATTAATCCTTTCTGTAAATGCTATTTTGTTCACTAGTCAATGCGCGGTGGGGATAGAGCCCCTTCTCTGTCCACTCATAGAGGAGAGGCGATTTCCTGCTCCAGCTGTGGTCACATGAATCTCCGGGAGGTGACCTTCTGCGACTGGTGTGGAGCCAGGGTGGGTATTTTATTTTATTTTATTTTATTTTTTATTTTTTTTTTTTAAGGATAAAGACTCATCTCAAAGAGGGTGGGTATTTTAAAACTGAACTTCTTTGTGCTGAGCATCTTATCACTAGCCTAGAGAGAGCCAGGATCTTGCATGGCTTGCAGAAATTACTTCTTGTGATTTTGGTATTGGCACCTATTTACTTAAGAATTTGGAGAGAGAGATAATTAATCCTCTTACATTGAGAACCATCTCTCATTGCTGTTTTGATTTGCATTTCTTTGAGGTCAAACATTTTCATTCATTTATTGACTATTGGCATTTCTACCTTTTTAATAGGACACTAAAATTATTTATCTATATATCTGAGTATTGCATGTAAATGATAAAAACGGTTTAGAGTGAAGGATTATTCTCCCTTCTCATCTCATTTTCACAGTTTCCATTTCTGGAACCAATTGCTAATATCCAGTTCTTGAAGTGTTCTTTCAGCTATTCAGTGCATCAATTGATTGATTGATTGATTGATTGATTGAGACAGGGTCTCACTCTGTTGCCCAGGCTAGGGTGCAGTGGCTCCATTCACTGCAGCCTCAAACTCCTAGGCTTAAGGGATCCTCCTGCCTCAGCCTCCCAAGTAGCTGAGACTACAAGCGTGCGCCACCATGCCTGGCTAAGTTTTTCTATTTTTTGTAGAGATGGGGGTCTTGCTATGTTGCCTAGGCTGGTCTCAAACTCCTGGCCTCAAGTGATCCTCCTACCTCGGCCTCCCAAAGTGCTAGGATTACAGGTGTGAGCCACCACACCCAGTCCTGATGCATTTATGCATTAACTGGTGCTTATTATGATCACTGATCTAATTCTTTTTGCCTAGCAATATATCGTTAGTAACCACCTCATTCTTTTCAGTGGCTTCATAATATTTCTTTGTCTGTATGTACTATGATATACTTAGGCCATCTCCTATTGATAGACACTTAGGTTGTTTCCAATGATTTCTTCTAAAACCACAATTCTGCAGGGGATGGCCTGGAATATACTTCTTTGTTTACTTGTCCATCTGTAAGTTAAATTCTAGAAGGTAGAATCCCTAGGTCAGAGGGTATGGGCATATGTTATTTTGGTGGTTAGAGATTATATGGTATGAGAATATATGGAAAAATTGTAATTCTAATATTCATTAAAATGTTTTCTATCCTCTAGCTTGGCATTCCTTCTGGCTCCTCTGTTTGCCCTAACTGTAGGGCTAACAACCACCTGTCTGCCCGATTCTGTGGCTCCTGTGGTTTTTATGTGAAGTCTTCGGCAAGACTTAGCTTGGATGGCGGCCTGGCTCTAGTTGCTGAGGAACCTCGCCATTATTCTGAGGTGAGACCTCCACTGTAGTGAGAACTGGTCTTTCCTTGGGAGAAGACTGTAACTCTGAATTTGTGTTCTCTACCATATAAATCAACCCAAGAGAGCCAAAGCAGTTAGACCTTTCACATGGACATTCAACTAGGTGTATAAATAAATTCAATCAATTTAGGTGTGAAACACTTAAATGATTTCTCTTAGAAATCAAAGATCTAGATATATATTTGTCTGTGGTAGATTGAGTTCAAATTGCATTTGCAAGGCAATGGACATAATGCCACAAAGAAGAAGTGGATTTAAAATACATGGGATAGAATGTACTTCTCTTGAATTTCTTATGTAGCATTCCAAGAGCTATTTTTTTATATTTTAGAAAACTTATGTCAGGTATATAAGATTGCTTTTGACATTTATAACACAGTTATAAATCTTTACACAGTTATTTATTATTTTATTTTTACACAGTTATTTTTCAGAAACACGCTCTAACCACTGGCTTTATGTTAGATTTTTATGAATTTCTCTAAGCTGGGTAAAGACTTTCCAGGTTTCTTCTTATCTCTTCATTATAAAAATTTGAAGATTAATAATTATTAGATAGAATGCACATGCACTCAACATTTTGCATACAATTTTAGAAAATTCATGGCCTTCTTAACCCCAATTGAAAGACATAGATCCTAGGACTGCCACTAGCCCATATAATACCTTTGTGCAAATGAAACAAAGGTGTTCTTTTCTCAAAATGCTTGACTGCCATCTGTTGAAAATTGCTTATAATGTACTAAATTTTTTAGATATTTACTTTCCTCTACCAGAAAAATTATCCTAATACATATGTAAAAATATGATGTTCACCATGTGAATGATGCTGCTTTAGATACAGTGATGTGTAGTACACAACCCATATAACCTTACATGGAAGTTCTCTCAGGTCCTCAGGTTCAGAGGCAAGAGAGACTATTAAAGAAAATGTTGGTGCCTAGTAATTGAGTTTGGATGAGTAGTGAATCTGTGTGTTCCATCGGATTGTAGAGCTGAAAGTATAGATGTCTTCTAGGCCTTAGGCAGACCAGGAAACACCCCTTGATTTGCTGAATTTGAAACAACAAATGGCCAAGGGGATGGGGCTTGCTTCATGGATCAGTCTGGGAGTTGCTGAGAAAGACAGCAGCAAGGATGGTGAGGCAAGGGCTGGAAAACTCCTTTTAGTTCAAAGTGTAGTTTTTTGGAGATATTTTGCATTCTGATTAGAATTGTTTTCTATGAGTAAAATGGAGGACTAATTAAGTTATATTCTAATCTTGATGTTTTCTGGCTTGCTCATAGCCCCCATCTGCCTGGCATTCCCTATATTTTCCTTTGCCCAAATCTTATTCTGAGACTAAGAAGGACATAGGCACGCAGACCGTTGGCCTGTTCTACCCATCCGGCAAGCTAATAGCAAAGAAGGATCTGGAACTGGCTGCTCAAAAGCAGAAGCAGGAGAAAATGAGTGACCACAGACCTTTCATCACAGCTGTCAGCCCAGGAAGAGGTGAGGGGGATGATGGGATTTCTTCTGGTTGGTTGGGAACTCTTTCTTTGAAAAAACATTTCTTTTTTATTTCCTTTTAGATGTATTTTTATGTGTAAGAAGTTAGTTCCTTTAGTTTTCTTTTTTCAAGTAATTTTCTTTGTATGAAAATAGCTCTTCCGTAAACTTTTAGTACTCCTGATATTTTAGCTCACAGCCCTGTTGTCTGGTTTATCAGTCAAATGGCACAGATGGAGTCCTTCTTTTAGTCTGTGATGTTTCTGCCATTTGTGATTATCTCTCTGTTTTTTATTGTGGTAAAATTCACATAACATAAAATATACCATTTTGACTATTTTAAAGTGTACATTTTAGTAACAATTAGTGCATTAACAATATTATACAACCATCACCACTATTGATTTTGAGAACATTTTCATCACCCCCAAAATAAACCCTGCACTCTTTAAGCAGTCGTCACTCCCCACATCCCTTCTCCCAAGTGCCTGGTAATCACCAATCTGCTGTCTGTATTTATGGATTTGCCTACTTTGCAGATAAATGAAGCCTGTGATATATGGTCTTCTGTGGCTGGCTTCTTTCACTTAGTATATTGTTTTCAAGGTTCATCTATGTCGTAGCATTTTTAGTAAACTTCATTCTTTTTTATGGATGAATAATATTTTACTGTACAGATATATGACATTTTGTTTATCCATTCATCAGTTGATGGACATTTGAGTTGTGTATACCCTTTGCCTGTTATGAGTAAGGCTGCTGTGAACATTTGTTTTTCTGTGAAAATATCACTTGGATATATACATAGAAGTATAACTTCTGGGTCACATGGTAACACGTTTAACTTTCTGAGGAACTGCCAGGCTATTTTTCAATGTGGTTGCACTATTTTACCTTTTTACCAATAGTATATGACAATTATGATTTTTCTACATCTTTGCCAATACTTGTTACCATATGACTTTTTCATTATAGCCATACTAGTAGGTACAAAGTGGTATCTCATTATAGTTTTGATTAACATTTCCCTGGTGACTAATGATGTTGAGCATCTCTTTATGTATTTATTGACCATTTGTATGTTTTCTTTGGTGAAATGTCTATTCAGATGCTTTGCTCATTTTTCAGTTTGGCTGGTTGTCTTTTATGTTGAGATGTAACAGTATTTTGTATATTCTGGATGCTAGACTCTTATCAGATATATGATTTGCAAATACTTTCTACCATTCTATAGGTTGTCTTTTAACTTTTTGAATAGTATCCTATGAAGCATAAAAATTTTAAATTTTAGACAGCTCAGAACTCTGCAAGTGAGAAGTAAAGTAAGCAAATGAACAAAGACTTCTAAACTTCCACCCTATCATGGAAGGTACCCACTCTTCCCTGCAGTGATTCCGATTGCTGGAACTTTGGAATATTCCAGCAAAGGTGGGGAGATCTGGATTAGATGACCTGGGTGTAGGGTCTGCTTTAGGAAGTGCTGCTGAGGCTCCTGAGTCATATATTTATGAGGCAGCCTGAGCAGTCTAGAATCTTCTCTTTGGGGGCCTTCTTGGCCCCAGGCTGGACCAGAAGGCAGGGAGCCAGTGTCGCCAGTCAGAATGGGGCCTGTTAGATATGTTCAAGAGGGTGTTCCTACATCTTCCTAACCAATGTCCTCTGTGTCATGCTATTTAAATTATGTGGACAGCAAAGACACACTCCTGCCCTCACAGAACTCGCAACCACTCTGGTGACTCCTGTCCACACTCTCACACACATAATAAGGCCTCCTCAGAAAGCTCTGGGGAAACGAGGCAGGTGGGGCTGGTGGATGGCACAGACTGTATGCAGTCTGGAGGTGATGGCCAAAGAGGTGGAACCATGAGGCTAGGGTTGCTGTGGGAGACCACACCTTGACTCTGGAAAGTCAGAATGGGACGTAGGGAGCCTCTGAGGATTTGGGCTTCTGCTCTCTAGGAGACAGGTAACAGCTAGACAGGATGTCCAGGCCCTATCCCAGTGGCCTACAGGTAGGACAAGACTTCATTTTCAGTGAGGGCAGCCCGGAGCCTCAGGAAATGGGGACAGTGTGGCAGGGGCCAGGGAAAGGCTGCAGGGCTGCATGTCCTCCCTGGCACACTGCAGCTTGGCCTCAGCATCTCAATGAGCACTGACTGGGCCCGGCCTAGACCTGCTTCTCACCCCCACCACCACCTAAGACCTGGCGCTGTGGGCACTGCACATTGCGTTCTGGCTTGCACTCCATCTCAAAGTCTGTGGAGCTTAAAACGAAGCAAGAAACTGCTGGGTGCTGCTATTCCGTGGAGCCATCTTTCTGTTCGTTCTTGCTGTTATTAAAAGACTAATCCTAAATCTTCTGCTTCTCCCAGAATTATGGCTCCTGTTTTCCTAAGCAAGAGGTGAAACCAATCAGCATCCTCAGAAGGGAAAATCTTATTCTGGCCATATGAGCAAATAAGTCTGATAATTGAGAGTTGCACCAGATCCCACATACCTGGGCCTTTGTGTATACTAACTCAGTAAGTCTCACGGCAACACTATGAGGCAGATGCTATTATTATTCTTTCTTATAGAGAAGGAAAATGAGGAATTGGAGTTCTCAGTTAAAACAATGCCTATAAAATTCCCCTTCATAATACTGTTTTGAAAATTGATTGAGTAGGGGATAGGGATAAGTAGAGCACAGGGGATTTTTAGTCCAGTGAAATTATTCTGTATGATACTGTATCATACATTTGTCAAAACCCATAGAACTGCATAACACAAAGAGTGAACCCTAATGTAAACCTTGGACTTTAGTTAATAATTTATCAATATTTGCTTATCAGCTGTAACGAATGTAGGCACTAAAGCAAGATGCTAATCATAGGGAAAAGAGTGGGAGTTTGGTATATGGGAACTCTGCTTTCTGCTCAATTTTTCTGTGAACCTAAAACTGCTCTTAAAAAGATAGTCTATTTAAATTTTTTTTTAATTTAAATATTGATTAAGTTCACTTTATCTGTATTTTCTTTTGTTGCTTATGTTTTTGGTGTCTTATCTAAGAAATCCATTACCAAATCCAGGTCACCAATATTTATCCCTATATTTTCTTCCAAGAGTTTTATAGTTTTAGCTCTCACATTGAGGTCTCTGATCCATTTTTAGTTAGTCTTTGCATAGAGTGTGAAGTAAGGGCCCAACTTCATTCTTTGGCATGTGGCTCTCCAAGTGTCCCAACACTGTTTGTCCAAGAGATGATTCTTTCTCCATTGATGGACTTGGCACCCCTGTCAAAATCAGTTGACCATGGATACATGGGTTTATTTCTGGACTCAGTTCTGCTGCATTGATCTGTATGTCTGTCTTTATGGCAGAACTGCACTGTTGATTATGTTTGCTCTGTAGTAAGTTTTAAAATTGAGAAGTGTGAGTCCCCAAATTTGTTGCTCTTTTTCAAGATTGTTTTAGCTTTAGTGGGTCCTTGAGTTTCTGTGTGAATTTTGGGATCATCTTGCTAGTTATTACAAAGAAGCCAATAGGGATTCTGATCAAGATTGTCTTGAATCTGTAGATCATTTTGGGGAGTATTGCCATCTTAACAATATTGAGTCTTTTGATTCATGAACATGAGATGTCTCTTCATTCATTTAGATCTTCTTTAATTTCTATTTCTTTTTTGGAAAAGAGGTTTTTCTTTTCCCAAAAATTGCACCAAAGTAAAGCAAAGCTCTAGCTGATGTGGGCATGTTGTGTAGGCATTAGCAGTACTGCCCTCACTACTCATTCATTGGACTGTAGTACTACCCCAAGAAAAGGATGGTTCATTTAGATCTTTTTTAACTTCCTTTAATTATGTTTTGTAGATTTCAGAGTATAAATTTTGTACCTCTTTTAAAAACTTTATACCTAAGTATTTTATTGTTTTTGATGTTATTGAAATGGAATTTTTTTAACGCACATTTTTGGATTGTTCATTGCAAGTGTATTGAAATACAATAGATTTTTGTGTATTGATCTTGTTTGTATCTTACAACATTGCTGAACCTTTTTATTATCTCTAATAAAATTAATTCCCTAAGATTTTCTATGTAAAACATCATGTCATCTGCAGGCAGGTACAGTTTTATATCTTACTTTCCAATCTGAATGCATTTTATTTCATTTTCTTACCTACTTGCCCTAGTTAGAAGCTCCAGTACAGTGTTGAATAGAAATGGTCAGATCAGAAATCCTTATCATGCTCTTGATTTTAGGGCAAGGCATCTAGTTTTTAACTATTAAGTATGATGTTAGATGCCCTTTAGCAGATCGAGGATTTCTCCTCCTATTCCTAATTTGTAGTGTGGTTGTTTTTTTTTTTTTATCATGAAAGGTGCTAGATTTTGACAAATGCTTCTGCTGCATCTATTTATATGATCATGTGATTGCTGTTTTTATTCCATTGATATGGTGTTTTATATTAATTAATTTTCAGATGTTAAACCAATGTTTCATTCCTAGGATAAATCTCACTTGTTTTGGGTGTGTAATTATTTTTTATAGGCTTTTATGTTCAGTTTGTGCTGTGATTTGGTTCTCAGGTAGATCATTATTGCTGTATAGAAATGTTACTGATTTTTTTTTTTTCTTTTTTGAGACAGAGTCTCGCTTGTTGCCCAGGCTAGAGTGAGTGCCGTGGCGTCAGCCTAGCTCACAGCAACCTCAAACTCCTGGGCTCAAGCAATTCTTCTGCCTCAGCCTCCCGATAGCTGGGACTACAGGCATACACCACCATGCCTGGCTAATTTTTTTTTATATATATATTAGTTGGCCAGTTAATTTCTTTCTATTTATAGTAGAGACGGGGTCTTGCTCTTGCTCAGGCTGGTTTCGAACTCCTGACCTCGAGCAATCCGCCCGCCTCAGCCTCCCAGAGTGCTAGGATTACAGGCTTGAGCCACCGCGCCCAGCCTGTTACTGATTTTGGTATACTGATTTTTTATCCTGAAATTTTACTGAATTTATTTATTTATTTATTT